TCTTTATTTTAAGGTCCAATTCTTGCCATTAACAAACCATTAAATATGACTTTTGCCTCAAACTACTAATTAGCTGCTTCTTAATAGTTAGCAAGGTAGTTGTTAAGTTTAGGTATTGGGTAGGATTACGGATGTACAACATGCTCATGCAGAATATGGTCATTATAAATACTAATAAACAGCCAAGATGTTAATAATAGGCATGCTAATAAGCAACTAGTTAATAGGGAGAATTGGTCCATATATTAAAGTGTTACCACAACAAATACAATAAAAACATATTGTAAAATAGTATTACAATTTAAAATAACAGTTTCTATGTGAATATCTGTTAAAATGTAATTTTTTGCTGCAATCAACGCGGAATTTTCAGAATCGTTACTCTGCACCAGAAACATTTCTGAAGGTCACCATTTATTTGAAATAAATCTTTTGTAGCATAAAAATAATGTCTACTTTGATCAATTTAAATCATCACTGCTGACTAAAAGCATTACTTTCTTAAAAAAAAAATAATAATAATCTTTTGAATGGTAGTGTATTTTGCAAAACAATTCATTTAATTGCATTTCTAAATGTCAAAGGAGTAAGATGCTTTTTACAGGCAGATACTGCAATTCTGACATCTGACCAACAGGTGCTAACTGGACTGTGCTAGTTAGCAAAACATTCTCACGCAGTTAACCTTAAAGTAAAGAGTTTCCACAATGGGTTGGTTAACATCTCTTTGGAGGAGTTTGCACAATGGCTATCCTTCAAAAGATATACAAACACAATAAACACAAATGTTTATTATACATGGAACATTAAAAACAATAGCAAACCTAAAGATAGTTTAGTGATATCAAGTTCCAAACGTAGGTTCGGCAGGAACCTAATCATTCAGTCCTGTCAATCATCATTACGAGCCTATATAAGTAGCAGTCATTGCGCCGTTCCAGCGACAATTCTTCCAGCATCCCTCCACCTCCCCATCTCCTCCTTTAGTTCTGTTATTCATCTTCTATGCAGTATCACATTTGGGGTATTGAACTCGGAGCTCAAGCCGAACCTCGGCCTTGAACCTCTGTTGTTTTTTACCATTAACCTTCAGGTCTGGATGGACAGATTAACTCATGAAATTGAAATAAAGTGTGATCATTCAGACAGTATATGGGCACAAACACACTCAAGCAAAGAGAACATATGAGTCACAAATGTGTTTAAAGAGTTGTGGTTTCATAATTCTTTAGGACGTCACAAAGATATGACTTGACACTAACATGAAACCTGTCACACCTGTGTTTTTCCCCTCTATGTGCCTGCCCTGACCTAGTTTCGCCCTCATGTTAATTGTTTATTGCTCCCAGGTGTGTCTCGTCATCCCCTAGTCAAGTCATGTGTATTTAAAGTGAATCCTATTCAGAGTTTCTTCGTCCGGTATTGAATGTTCGTCTTTCCCCGCTACGTGTGTGTTCCTAGTTCCATTGGATGTTAATTAAAGTCTGTTTGTTTGAAGTCTACTCCACATCTCCTCGTTCCTCGCTCCGTGCTTCTCACAGTAAGTAACCGGGCTGAGTGGGCTCCCGTTTCCCAGTCCAGCAGAGAGAGAGACTCAGTCCCCGCCATCCTCCAGCGTCGCCGTGGCTGGAGTATCCCTTGACTCCGCTTCCAGCCTCTAAGGCCCGGACTCTGCCTCGGCCCGTGGACCCGTCAGCTCCACCATGGCTCCTAGCTCCCTCTTCTCCGCCATGGCCTGGCAGTCCACTAGCTCCGCTGGGCTCCCTCATCCCTCCGGCTCCGCCTTGGTCTGGTGTCGACCATCCTGCACCTCGGGACTCCACTCCTCCGGCTGCGCCTCGTCCCTTCGTCCCTCCCAGCCTCTCCGGGCCACCATCATGGCTGTGGCCTGGGTCCTGCTTGGCCCCTCCTATTCCAAATCCTTCCTGTCGCCTCCCTGGCTCCTTCCTCTATCGTCACCTCCCTGGATTCTGTCTGCCGGCCCCCTCCCGGGTGTCCGTCCTCCTCCCAAGTTCCCACCCGTGCCCCCCCTCTGTTGTTCTACGGCGCGAGGACGCGCCTTCCGGGAGGGCGGCGATATGTTACGCCCCTAGACTCTATCTGTGTGTTTTTCCCCTCCATGTGCCTGCCCTGACCTAGTTTCTCCCTCATGTTAATTGTTTATTGCTCCAGGTGTGTCTTCGTCAATACATGTGTATTTAAAGTGAGTCCTGTTCAGAGTTTCTTCGTCCGATATTGAATGTTTGTCTTTCCCCGCTACGTGTGTGTTCCTAGTTCCATTGGATGTTAATTAAAGTCTGTTTGTTTAAAGTCTACTCCGCGTCTCCTCGTTCCTTGCTCCTCACAGTAGCGGATTGTGACAAAACCAGTGGCTGAAGCATTAAAGGCGGTGTGTGTGTCTGTGTCTGCATAAATCTGTCAAGACAGAAACGCCTGTGACCTTGAGCTGCGCCGCAAACACGTTACATGATGTTATTTACTGGAGCGCTCAAGGCATCTGCTTTCCAGTCGTTCTCATCTACTGCCTCACCGAGTGATGTATAAAACATGCATTACTTTTACAGCGAGCATAATATGCAGATTTTTTTATTTATGGAATGCCTGTGTATCCCTGGGTGGAATATGATATCCCACAATGCAATGGGCTCCACTCAACCTTTCATTTTCAGTATAAAACATGAAACCAGTATCAGATGACTAATCTCTTTAATTGTCAAAAAAATCCCCCCCAC